ATATATATATATATATAGATAATATTATAATTAAACTTTAAAAAAAATTATTTGTTATTAAAGAATACTCTTTATCATATATGAGAACTAATCTCTTTCAGAAGTTTGACAAATATCAAATAAATTAACAACTTTTTTAAATTTATATTTTATACATTTGATAGTTTAAATATATATATATATATATTATTAAAATTAAAATATAATTTTTTATTTTTAAAATATATATTTTTTAAATAAAAAATATATGTATGTAAAATGATAGTGGGGGCAAGTGCCCCCACTCTTGTCTAAGTAGATCCGTCCATGCGTGCAAATGTTACTTCTATTGTTAGTCTCTTTTAATGTTTATAACACAAGTTGATATATAAATCGATATTTAAAGACAAAACTAGTTAATGAGAAATTTCATGCCTTTTAAAATACTCTAAATTTATACAAAATAAAATTAGGAGCTTTCAAAATTTATCTGATCTCTCTAATGTAGATTAATAAGAAACTTTTGAACGATTCAAGTTTTAAATAATTATATAATGTTTTTAAAGATTGGACTTAAATTATATATTTGGTTTCTTATTTAGTTTGATATCATTTTTTTAACTCATCATTTTTAAAATAATTATACATTGATATTATTACTTTTTTAATCGAATAATATTTTGTCTGATATAAAATATATTTCATTAATATTATTTTTTTGAAATATATATTATATAATTAGTTGTTATTTCAAGTGAACTTGAGCATAATCTTCTTAAATAATATCTCATATTCAAGTCTTGTACATGTAAAAAAAAACCATAGTTGAGAGAAGAGATTCTATTAAAGGTGGTCCTGGTCCATCAAGTTTTCTAACCGAAACTAATAATGAATAAATATTTTTTTACTAACAATATAGTTACCAAAAAAATACATCTTAATTGTATTTGTATATTTCTTTAATCCTATGATTAATTATATATGATGTTAATATTATGTATTATGTCAATTAGTTAAGTTGGCTCGATCTGTTTATCGGTTTTAATGGCTTAGATTTAAATCAAAAAAATTAAATTTATCAATATTTGGAATAAGATAGGAACATAGATAAACTCAATTCAACATGAAGACTAATAAAATGAATTATGAGCCTCTAACTAAATAATTAAGAAAATAATTCTTATTTCCTTCTTTCTTCACGAATCATGATTCATATTTACTATTAATCACAGACCATGATTCACCTTGTAATATGAAACTTATATAATCAAGAGAGTAAGTTATATGAAATGTGTAATAATATTGTCTTTAAGAATTTATTCACATAATGCTTAAGTCTTCCAATCCTCTCCTCCTTCAAAATGACCTACAAAATCTTCCATTTGTACATCTTTATCAGTAGCATCTTTTTCAACACTAGTTGGTGACTCCTCCTTCTTGATGAAAGGCATGTCCCCAGGCTAGTATTTACAATCCTTTCTTTTAAAATCACCCATAAAATCTTTCGTATGTACATCTTCATCTCCATCAACAACATCTTTATCAGCACCAGTTGAAGACTCCTTCTTTCTTTTGATGAATAGTCTGTTCCCAAGCCACTATCTTTAATATTTTCCTCCAAAATCACCCACAAAATCTTCCATATGTGCATCTACATTACCATTATCTCCTTGATCGTCATCTCTATTAGTTGCATGTTCATTAGCAGTTGGTGACTCCTCCTTCCTCCTAATGAAAGGCATGTCCTTTGGCTACTACATGTTGGGCCAATGAAACATGTAAATATGTAGCTTCTTGATATCTCTATCATATTGATGCTCGATGAATTTGCCAAAGAATTCATTATCAGTATTAGGCCTCTATGATGAGTTGAATGTTGATCCTTAATGTGTTGTAGATGTTCATCTTGCACATCAAGATTCCAATGAATTCCTTACAACTCATTTTGTTGACAATTTTGGTTAGCTATTATGGTATTCATCTTAAGTTCAACTATTGGATGCCAACCATTATGGATGCCATTGATGGTTTCTCTTCTATATCAGATGGTTGTTTTGGTGCTGCTTGTTGGGGCCGTGCTTTTTGTTCTTCTTCTAGTTGGTTAGGGTTAAGGTGGTTAATTAGGTGTGTGAAATACTAGACAATGAATCTCCTACTAATAGGAAAGTTAATTTTCATTGTGCATGAAATTGGAGCTGCATGGTGTTGAGCAGTGATAAGCGCCAAAAATCCCAATGCTTTGTTGGGCTTTTTCGAGATTCTTGTTGGGTTCCTTTATCACAAATTGGTGGATTTTATTAGAAATTATTTGTACCACATCAGCATCATTCTCATTCATTATTTTGTAGACTAATTCATATTTCTTCATATTCATATAAGACTGATGAGAATTTTGATTGATGTTGGCTAGTAGAAATGACATCCAGATCTAAGTTATGGTTTACATGTCTCCTCTCATGATCAGGAGTGTTGTACCTTCTAGGTTCCAGACATAAACTTCATCTAACACACAGACATGGACTTACACCTAGTGTCAACAAATCCTGACACACATACATTCCAGGTGAGTTATAGAAACAACTAATTTGGTACAAAAACAGGCTTTATGATTTGTTTTTGAGTTACCGCTATCTCCTTGGCAAAAAAAAAAAGAAGAAGAGAGAAACGAGGTGGACGAATAAGAGTTATACGCTTTTTTTTCTAGTCCTCTCTTCGAGTGGAGCTACTTTTTTGACGAGTAAGGGAGGCTCCGTTGAACATAGCAAGACATGCCCTAAGTTCAAAGAGAGACAAAAGAAACTCTTTTGAGCTAGAAATACTCGTTGGTTCCTTATTAACACTCTTTTATCACAACCGAAACACTCCAAAATAACTTTTACTCACGTATCTTTACCCTTGACCATGAACCTCCTTTGAATTTTTAATTCACTTAACTTTTTCATATTCAGATTTGAATCTAAGAAGAAAAGAAAAAGAAATAGAAATTAATAATTCGCTTTGCACTTGCAACGTTTTTATTGGACAGTCTTTGGTAGTAGTGCCATTTTACCCATTGGCTATATGGGCAGGTTATAAGAAAGACATCCATATATAGGGTCTGGTCGAAGATTAGGTATACAAGCATTCCAACCCATTTTAGTAGAAGGGCGTGCTATTTGTATTGCCTTCATTACATAGTATCCGCACTCATAGTTTCCTTTTTGCTTATGAGACTACAAAAAGAATATAAAAACCAATTTTAGTAGTAATGGTAATTCACTTATTAACACTCTTTTATCACAACCGAAACACTCCAAAATAACTTTAACTCACGTATCTTTACCCTTGACCATGAACCTCCTTTGAATTTTTAATTCACTTAACTTTTTCATATTCAGATTTGAATCTAAGAAGAAAAGAAAAAGAAATAGAAATTAATAATTCGCTTTGCACTTGCAACGTTTTTATTGGACAGTCTTTGGTAGTAGTGCCATTTTACCCATTGGCTATATGGGCAGGTTATAAGAAAGACATCCATATATAGGGTCTGGTCGAAGATTAGGTATACAAGCATTCCAACCCATTTTAGTAGAAGGGCGTGCTATTTGTTTGCATCTACTTCCAACCTTCAAGACTTGGTCGAGTAAGTCCAAAACTAGGCCCTTAACAAAACCAGGACTAGCTCGCTATTCCTAATAAAGAATAGAATAAGGGCTTTACCGGCGCAATTTGAAATGATTATACTATATTGGATGGACGATAACACAACAAGACTCTCATATGAAACCTCAAGAAAAAGACAAATGACGTCTCATTTCCCTATTTGAATTCTATTTTATTTTAAATTATTTGTTTATATATATATATATATATATATATATA